GCGGCCCGGTACCAATTGATCCACGGACCGGTACCGGTCCGCGGCCCGGGGGTTGGGGACCACTGATGTAAAAGGTTTCTCCTGAATATCCATAATTGCATTTCAGATATCTAAAACGGCATTTTGACTAGAGTGAAAATAACTATTCAAGATATCTCCAACTGCATCCTGACCAGTTAAAATGACAATTCCAGATATCTACAAATATATTTAGGATAGTCTCAGTTCCCTTTTGGATATCTGAAATGAGGCCACTGATGTCACTGCCATTTTAGCATTTATTAGATCAACAGAATTCATATAACAGATATCTAATCTAGTTTATTTACAAGTAGTTAAAACTATAATTTAATTTAATTTAAGATATCTGATCGGTCCTAAATACACTGCAGATATCATAAATGTAAGTCCTGTCCACCTATTTAATGTTAAAGGGGCTTGCCATACTGACTGTATATAAAAACTGGACAGGACTGACACTACAAACTAGAGCAGATGTCCCGGCAGCCACGTCAAGATTGCCTGTCATCCTGTTCTCAGCAAGAGCCCGCCAGAATGCAACCGCTGATGGAGCCAGCGAGGCCCACCAGGACCACACCAGAGCGTCAGCACCACAGCATGGAGCCAGAGAAAAAGACAAGCTCTGGTCTCCTGACCCTTCTTTCCAGCCAAAATTACATCCGTCATCTATACCACTTATCCTAACAAGGGGCTGGAGCCAATTCAAGCTGACATTGGGCAAGAGGCAGGGTTCACACTGGACAGGTCGGCAGTCTATCACAGGGCTGACATGTAAAGACCAACAACCACAATTTAGAGTCACCAGTAAACCTAAGCTGCATGTCTTTGGACTGGGAGAGAACCCACACAGGCACAGGGAGAACATACAAACTCCACACAGAGATGCGCTGGGTGGGCAGGGGATCTTCTTGCTGTGAGGCATCAGTGCTAATCACTGCACCACCATGCTGTCCTATAGAAGTTAAAATATATCCATATATACACACACACACACACACACACACACACACACACACACACACACACACACACACACACAAAAACCAGCAATATCAGACAATAACCTATTCTAAGGTGCTGTAAAGGATCAGCTAAATAACGCTGATACCAATGGGAGGATTAAAAATGCTTTACTTAGGCAGCACACAGCTTGTCTGACCTGTAGTGGCCATATAGGCGCATGTAGATGCTAAAAAACTCAAAAGGTTCAATTCATGTTGCCTAGTAACCAATGTTGTCAGGATCGACGCGTAAAGCTGCTGATGATGTTGACGGTGAACTCAATTATACAGCCAGACGAGGATAAGTAAAACACTGTCTCTTTAATAAGCGCACTGGTCAGACATAAACGATACACAAGGCAGGAGTTTGATTCAACAAGCAACACTCTCAGGTCGATAATACAGTCCAGGGTCAAAGCCAGCAAACTCAGACATCCAAGATTTCCACGAAAAACATGGTCAGAAAGGAAGATCCAAAGGTCAGTGCACAGAATACAAATCAAGTCAGAGGGGTTAGGAAATACTCGGTGGTAACAAGGCAATCCGGGGTCAGTGCTGGAAAGACAGGCACAAGAAAAACCACTGGAAAGTCTGCACATGGGTTAGAACGATCTGGCAGCTTCTTGGTGTGGGGAAGCTGCCTATATGCTGTTGTAACCAGGTATGAGTAATGAGAAGCAGGTGAAACCAATGTGGGTGATGTGATAAAGTTCTCGGGAGTCAGGGGGAGCTGGGGACAAGAAGTAGTGTCAAAATGAAAGCATGAGACCGGAAGCAGGCGGGACAGAGTCATGACATATGTATCTCGTGTCACCATAAGAATAAAACTTTCCAACACTACTATTAACCTGACTTGAAACTGGGTCCCTCTGTGCTCTATATCACATGTAGTTCGCTAGAAGGGACCTGTCCTCACTAAGTACGAATGGAAGTATAAGGACAGAGAATGCTTGTGAACTTGACAGTTTTGGGGAAGGCTAAGGAGGGCTACACCGATCGCATGCACCTTAATTAACCTATTCATAAAATACCAAACCTTTTAAAATATATTCTGAAAAGAACAGAAGCCAAAGATTGCCAAGTTCACAGTCCTTGTGTTAAATAGAACTGAGGATAAATTGATGGAGCTGTTATTAGAACGGCCCAGGCTGAAATAAAGGTTCCCCAGGGTATGAAGTCATTTGATGGGCATAAGTGTGATTTTCCAGATGGGCTATGATTGTTCCACAGCATATCCTCTTGTAAATGAGCTAACATAATAACTGCATGTTTGCATGATGCTGGACTTTCCTGACTTTATCAGATAGTCAGCTTACCCAGCATGCAATGCCAGATTCACACAGACAAGGCCATGCTCATATGGCGCTCACTGTGCTCAAAGTATGATGTTTTTATAATACATTTAACAGTTATTTGTTCTTTCTTTTTTATTGCTTATTGAATTTATAAACAGACCATTTCTATTCCTTGTAGCCTTTGTTAAAAATTTAAATGGAAAACCAAACTGTGGTGTGTTTCACTACAACTGTGAAGCTGTTGCATTTCACTAACTAATATAGATTGCAGCACAGACCTTATTCATTATGAGACTGAAAAAAGTCTTGTGTAGCACCTAACATTTGATACATTAAGTCCTGTTTAATGCAGAAATAGTGGACAGGTGGAGGTAGCACCACAGCGCTAAGTAGCTCTGACCAGGTGCTCAGTGAAACTCCCTTTGTCAGACCATCTGCAAGCTTGACAGTGTGACCCACATGCTTTTTGTCCTCCTGGCTGCTCAAGTAACTGGTTATTATCCCACAGAAACATGTAATCATAGTAATGATAAGTCTAATAGTTGGAGAGCTGCAGCCAGATACAGTGTTCTTCTGCAGCATTTTATCTATCAGAGCATCTTGTGCTACATTTGCAACAAACGTTATGCTATATTTGCACTTTTGCACTACTGCTTTTTATACTGGTATTACTTATATTTTTATATTAACTACAGTTCTGCTGTAGAGTTGGCTATAGTCATGCACGCTTTATATTGACAATATTTAGACAGCTCCACTGTTGTCATGATGTTTGCACATAACCTCGTGGATGTGTTTATAGACAAGCTCACAAATACTTTTGTTCTGTTTCTATATTTTTATCTCACTTGTACTTTATGTGTACTATACAATTTCTTACATTTATTAATGCTTCTTCTTTTACAGTATGTGTATAGTGTGATAGGGATGTCATTGTGTAATATTGTTTAGTTTATTCTATAATAAGATGAAACCTGACCTAAAGCTTAAGATATGTCCAATAAAACAGGAGTAGTAGCCCTAGTAGCCTTTTCTTTCTCCTACCTGCATACTCCCATTCTCTGTGCAGCCATTGCTCTGCCTATATCTCATTGTTTTTTGTCTCCTTTACATTTCTATCTTAGCCAAGCATCTGAATTTCTGCAAAATCGACCCGACCGTATTGGCAGCATTTATAAGAAGGCTATGTTCAGACAGTACACAGATGCTTCATACAGTCATTTTGCTCCCCGACCTGACTGGCTGGGCTTCCTGGGGCCCATACTGCGAGCTGAGGTCAATGACATTCTTGTGGTCCACCTGAAGAACTTTGCGACCAGGAACTACTCAATGCATCCCCATGGAGTTTTCTATGAGAAGAATTCAGAGGGTATAGTGATACATAATACACATATGTGCACAGTGAAACAGGCATATTGTATTTACACACAGAAAGGCATGCAAAATCAGTGAGACAACAGTAGTTGCTGCAATAGTAATTCTGAAATTGTTTTGGCAGGACATTTTGGCTCCACACGGTCAGTGTGATGTAACCCTGAGATTGTCCGCAGTTGGTTATGTAATTCAGAAAAAGTAATATGCAGTAGTGCCTTTTTTTTTATCCAAAAGCTGCAGTTCTGTGTAATGCTATTATTAGAATATGGCATCTTGGCATGTTTTGCTGCTCTGCGTCAGTGCCGGTGTCAGTGATAACGAAACACTGATACTGCTGAAAAGAAACAGGGCAAAGGTAATACTGACTGGAAGTCACTCCATTTAGGCTTGTGTAAAAAGTAAAAGCGTGATTTAAATAGCTGAGTGACTATTATAAAAGACATGACCTCTTGTCAGATACAGTATGTCTGCTAAATATTCTGATCTCTGCTCTTTGTTATGCACCAAACCCCAGTCTCCCACTCATCTGTGGAGATGCCTTTAGAGGAATTAAAACTGAAACAGTCAAATATTCTTTAAAAGTGATAGGCTTTTAATGTAATAATATAATATAATATAGTGTGTAGTATTTTTCTGCATTGAGTAGCCTACTAATACTTTTAATGCTTTAAATGCATTTTTGTGTTAATACTTACTTTTACTTAACATTAATAATGCAGGGCTTTAATTTATAAAAGACTATTTTGTAACAGAGTAGACTACTTTTACAGTGTTATATTAGTGAATACTTCTACTAGTACTGGTGCGAAAATGCAAACTAACATGCTTTAGTTATATAACATGTTATACGTGCAATAAAACAGGCCCTTTTTTGTTCTTCTGAGGATCATTGTAGCTGATAATAATAGTAATTGTATAATACCATATATCGTAATACTGTGACACCGTGATAACTGTGATTTCTGAGACGGTTATCATACTGTTGCAACCCTATATCTCACACACATTTAGAGATGTGGAGGCTGAAAGTTTAACAGGAATAAGATCCACAAAGAAAAAGGAGAAGGCTGATTTGAAAAAAAAACTGTGTTGTTATTAAACCTGCTTTCAGTTGGTGAATTATTTATTTCATGCATCACATTAAGATCATATTTTTTAAGTTGACAATGATTCTCTAAACTTCAGAGGAAACTGAATGATCTCAGTATAAACACAGTGTGTTCGCCGAACAGGGGCTCTATATCCAGATGGGACATCAGGCATTTTGAAAAAAGACGACTCCGTTCCTCCGGGAGGCAGCTACACCTACCGCTGGGAGGTCCGACCAGAATTTGCCCCAACAGATGATGATGCCAGCTGCCTGACCTGGATCTACCACTCTCACGTAGACGCCCCCAAGGACATTGCATCAGGACTTATCGGGCCTGTGCTCACCTGCAAGAAAGGTATAAATGTGTGCTGTATGGGTTGCTTCTCTGTATGCAGTCAAGTCAAATCAACTGTATTTGTACTGTATATCTTAAATACAGTCCTTAAGGATTTCTTTAAACCCATGACAAAAAAGTTAATTACGTCAACATGACTTAGGCCTTTAATGACTACAATGAAAAACTGTCAAAGCTTCTTAAGAAAAACAAAAATGGTGGGAAACCACAGACAAAAAATATTAAATGTCCCCCTGCATGCTTCTCAATGAGCACAGGAATCTTGAAGGAAACTAATGAAATCAATCAGATAAAGCCAGAGTCTGCCATAGCGTCCGCCCGCAATGATGTGGACCAGGAAGTCTGCTTGATGTTCAATGTTGTGGACGAGAACCTGAGTTGGTACCTGGAGGACAACATTAAGCGGTGCGGGGATCCAGATGGCATTGACCTAGAAGACATGGACTTTGAAGAGTCAAACCTGATGCATGGTGAGCATTTTTAACTTGACTCTTTCTGAGAGTGTTTAGCAATAACATGAGTGCACACACATTAAGTTGGATAACAAGATGAAGATGAAGATATAAAGTTTGTCCCAGAATCGAAAAATTTTCATTTTGACTTTCTTTCTTTCCCCTGCACTGTTGCCACTACTGTATGTGCAACTGAGCTGTCGACACCATGTAATCAATTTAATTACTGTTGCAATGAACTCATTTCAAATCAAACTTCACAAGGTTTACGGCTAAATCTGTTCTCGTTATTCATTCTCCTCATCTCTGCGTGTTTTTCTCTGCATGACAGCTATTAATGGATACGTGTTTGGTAACCTACCTGGGATCGAATTATGCCAGCACCGTGCAGTAGCCTGGCATTTGTTTGGTATTGGTAACGAGATGGACATTCACACTGCCTATTTTCATGGGAATACACTGTTGGACCGTGGCCACCGTACTGATGTCATCAGTCTGTTCCCAGCCACATTTTCCACAGCCGCAATGGTGCCAAAAGCAACAGGAAAGTGGCTGTTGACCTGCCAGGTTAATGACCACCTAATGGGTAGGGCATCTGACCTTTAAGCACTATGTCACCTTTAACCTCTGTGCTCTGGATGTGCTCCCCAATTGCTGACAGGGGAGAATGCATTTTTGTTTGTTATGCTTGTCAAAGCATGTTGGTATGAACCTTCCCACAGCAGAACAATGGTATTGAACATAAATCTGAATGACCCACACTTGTACACAGTAATGCTGACACAACATAATGGCCTATTCTCAGTTCTGCCATTCACAAAAATTATTGACCCTACAAATCACACCTTTGATAGTTTAACATACTCTGGAAATGATGATTCTGGAAAAAAAAGTAAGCAAGCTGAAACTGGACACTGAAATATTTATTATTTAACTGGCCACTGAATCTGTTCTTCTAAACATATCAAGGTGATTTTCAGCAGTTAAAATTATCGTATGTGTGTGTGTGTGTGTGTGTGTGTGTGTGTGTGTGTGTGTGTGTGTGTGTGTGTATGTGTGTGTCTTCATCTTCTCCAGCTGGGATGCAGGCTTTTTATAAAGTCAAGGCTTGTGGCAATGAAGCCAGCACCACAGTGACGGGTGGTGTTGTGAGGAATTACTACCTGGCAGCAGAAAAAGTGCTGTGGAACTATGCTCCCTCGGAAAAGGATCTAATTAATAACGTATCACTTACTGAAGTCAACAGGTGGGTAGAGATGTCAGATTATGGTATGGGTGATATGCTGCAGAAATGAAGGCCCACTCATTTTTTAGCACAATGTAACTGAAACACAGTGAGCTGGACCCACATAATTTCACACCTGCTTTCTTTCTAAACTGTTCAAGCTGTCAGGGGTCATGTTCACTTGACAACTGTAATAAAGCCATAAGACAGTCAGCAAATGTCTTCAAGCACCTATTACAAATCCTTATGTTTTATAGCCAGTCAGCTGCGTTGTAAGTCCAAAAGTCTAATATGTACCAGATAAAAATTGCTTGCAGTTAAAAAGTACAACCCCAGTAGTTTTGAAAAAGGAAGTGCAGGGACTAGGTGGCTCCATTGATAATGATGACATGTCCCTTTAAAGCTTGCAAAACCTCGGAGCAAAGCTTGTGTTGGTCTGTGTGTAAGGTCTCTGGACAGGGCTGATTTGAAATGTTTAGAGTAAACAGTCTGGGTATTGACACAGTGACTCACTTGTTTTTGTGCCTGTGCTATTGCTCCCTGATTTGACACAGAGAAGATCCTGGCCAGCTGTTCAGTCTGTTCGGTTTCTTTGTTGTAGGAAATTCGACACCTCTTCTAAGCCACTTACTGTTTGCAACCCCCACATTACTTCTCCTTTGTCACTCTTATCCTCCCCCATCCCCTGCCCCTCCCATACTTCCTCTCTTAGTGCATCTGAGACTTTTTTTGGCAGAGATGATGGAAGGATCGGAGGTAGCTACTTTAAAGTGATATACAAGGAGTACACAGACAATACCTTTTCCATTAAAAAATCATCAGCACCTGATCTCAATCACTTAGGAATCTTAGGTAATGTCCTCCTTCTTCACCTAGTAACAAATATGAGACTAATCACACTCCATCTTTTGTGTCTTATTTACTGGGACACTGATGTCTTTCAACCATGTTCTCTCAGTACCTCTTGTCTGGTTCTAATGTTCTTCTACATTTGTCCAGGTCCAGTCCTGAGGGCAGAAGAAGGAGACACTCTCAGAGTGACTTTCATGAATAAGGCTGATAGAAATTATAGCATCCATCCTCATGGCCTGAACTATGACCAACTCTTTCAGGGAAGCAGTTATGAGGATGGTGAGGAAGCAGCAAGTTTGTGAATGCACTGCATTGTAATGTAGCTGAAGCACTAAGCAAAGTGGTAGAAAACATCTGTGCAAATGAATAAATGACTGAAGTGACACCAGATCTGATACTTTTATGTGCACTACTGTAGAGGCTGACCAGCCCGGATCCCATGTTGGTCCAGGTGAGCGCTTCACCTACACTTGGCAGGTGCTAGAAGGCCCATCTTCATCTGACTCTCCTTGTATCCCCTACCTATACTACTCTGCCACTGTTCCCGTTGAGGACACCAACTCTGGATTAGTGGGACCTCTGCTTGTGTGCAAGAAAGGAACGCTAGGGGAGAACGGAATCCAGGTGCTCCTTTATTATCCATTAACATATTCATAAGTATCTTTAACAAGTAAATGTTTGGTTTTTAATTATTTATTCAACTATATTCTGTCATTAATGAAATTTTTTCCAAGTGTAATAATTATTTCAGCACTATTGGGTTTTGATAAGATTAAATGAAACTTTAATCATCCTTGTGGGGAAATTGGGTCATTACAGATAAGATACTTTAGCTACTATGGAAATCCACTGGGATGAAGATGTTGCCGCATGTTAGTTACAACAAAAGAGTTTACACTGACTGGGCAGGCACTAGATTTCCATGTTCAAAGATGTGTGGTAGAGTTTTTAAAAAATGAATGCATTTTTATTTTTATTTATATTTTTTGCTGTTATCTAATACTTGCATCTGCGGCCTCACTGTTCTCACTGTTACTGTGTGTGCATTGTTTAACAGAAGGATGTGGATAAGGAGTTCTTCCTTCTGTTTTCTGTCATGGATGAAAATATGAGCTGGTACTTGGGGGAGAATATTAAGCTTTTTGGAAGCAACGAGACAAAACAAAACGACGAAATCTTCGACGAGAGCAATAAGATGCATGGTAATCGGTACAATTGGTTTTAATGACTATATTTAAAAATATTGTTTAATTGACACTGATTCTTCCTTTTCATTTCAGCTGTAAATGGACGCATGTATGGAAACCTCGACGGACTGGAGATGTGTGCGGGAGACAGAGTTCAGTGGTACACCTTTGGACTAGGTACAGAGGTGGACGTCCATGGGGTTTATTTTGAGGGGAACACCTTCAAGAAGCAGAACACAACACGCGACACGATCAGCGTGTTCCCTCACACCACTGCTACTGTCACCATGCAGCCGAACACTCCTGGTTAGTCATATTGTTCTCACATACCCACACACTCACAAACATACTGTACAGTGCTGCTGCTCAGAAACCTCACCCAGCACTTCAGGTTGTCCTTGGCAGGCAGTTTAGTTCGTCACAAACATGCTTAGATAACCCTGAGTGAGTGTTTTTGTGTGACACGTTCACTGTTCCCAACTACGGAAGCCCAACACAGTGTTCTCAGCACTTGAAAACAGGAAGCATCAATATGTACTGTACAAACAGGAAATTGTTAGGGTGATTTTCAATGCAAGCTATCAGCAGTATCTAGATTATTTAAAGTATCCTGAGATATACATAGATCTCAGGATACTGAGGCTCCGACTTTGGCTGGAGACTGAACAATTCTGGAAGAGCATATGGGAGAAGGAGGCATCACATAACAACAATGCCCAATGGCTGATAGACCTGAGAGCAGACCACAGCAACCTTCGTGAACAAGACCCAGTAACCATCACAATGGCAGACATTCAAGAGAGGGTCTCAAGTATGAAGAGCTGGACAGCACCAGGCCCTGACATGATCCATGCCTACTGGTTAAAGAAGTTAACATCACTCCATGGCGGGACAAATGAACCACCTACTAATGGATGTAACCCACACCGAGTGGTTAACTGAAGGCCGGACAATCCTGATCCCGAAGGACCCTCAGAAGGGAGCAGTACCATCCAACTACCAAAGCGAAGATGCCCCTGAGACAATCCAGCACATAACAGCGGGGTGCAAGATGCTAGCAGGCAATGCACACGTGGAACACCATAACCAAGTGGCTGGCATAATGTACAGAAACATCTGTGCCAAGTACAGGCTGGAAGTCCCAAAGTCAAAATGGGATACACCTCCAAAGGTGGTTGAGAATGACCAAGCTAAAATCCTGTGGGACTTCCAGATACAAACTGACAAGCTGGTAATGGCCAACCAAATATATATAGTAGTGGTGAACAAACAGACAAGGCCATTCAAAAGTCTACACTGAAGATGACAGTGAAGATGAAGTTGTTATACAGCTATTCCTTCTTGTGTTGCATTTAATTAGATGTACTTAGGTATAGAGCTTTAAAGAACAAAAAATAGTGTTTAACAAAATTACTCAGCTTTAACAGGCAGTCATGTTTGGAATCAAGAGAAAGTGCTGTACAATACATTTCAAAATAACATGGGATGTGGTATAGAAGATATGTCTGACCTCAGGTAGTTCATTTAAAAAATGACTTGTGGTGCCACCCCCTCAAATACAAATACAAGTACAAATTGTTCATGTGAGTCTAAAATACTATATGTTTAGTTCTACAGCAAAAAGGTGGATTTTTTATACTCTAATAATCAGTGGTGGAAAGTAGCTACATAACTTAAGAAGTATACTTAAGAACAGTTTTGAGATTTCTGTACTTTCCCCTTAACCAACTGCAACATGAAATGTGTTGTACACAATAATGCATCAGTAATTATAGTACAATAATATGATAAACAGGAATGTGCAATTGTGCCATTCTGCATACTGAATACTTTTACTTTGTACTTTTACTTAAGTAACATTTTGAATGCAGTATGTTAACCTGTAACAGAGTATTTTACACTGTTGTATTGCTACTTTTATTTATGTAAGGGAGCTGAGTACTTCTACCACTGCCTAAAATCAACAAAGGTGTAAGCCTTTGTAAGTTAATGTAAGTAATTTAAAAAATACCCTAATGTGTGGGTGATATGTCCCCCCCACCCAAAAAGGTTCAGTTAACTAGTTAACATTTTAAAATGACATCTACTCTTCTTTAAGTGAAAAAATCCAGTCTATAAATTTGCTGATTTATTTCATTTCAGACTTTGCACATGTATCATTCTGCACAGTGAACACACATCCAAATTTCTTAAACATAAGTAAAAACATTTCTGAGTGGAGCTGGCTCAAATAGCACAAAACATGATGCTGCATAGAATACAGCAATAGTGTGATAGCATGCAGTGTTTATATCTCAAAATTATCCCAAAAAATGTGCCTGCAAACCACAAGTCAGTACAACGTGGATTTTTTTTCAAGTCACAAGCAGCAAAGGAAGCTGATGAGATTTGCAAACAAGTGCAAATCAGTTTTTTTAATAGAAGTCAATGACTGTTTAAATCTCAGATAAACCACTAAACTGTATTCAGGGGTCTACAGTACAGTCCAGTCAGGAGAGACACAGAAGAAGCAGTTCAGAAGTGTTTAAATGTTTAGATGGAGGAGGGTTGCAACAGGCAGCACTGAAATGACAATTGACAGCAGGGAGATGGATAGTTTTAAAATTTGCCAGTTAAGAGAAGATTGGCTCATCTAGGCCGTGTCATGAACTCCAGCTCCACTTCCAGTAACTTGCTTTTATTTTTACGAGACACTTCCTGTTCCACCCTGTTCTCACTCCCAGTCACTTTACTTCATCACACCAACCATCCTGACCTGTCCTGATTGAACACGCCTGTGCATGCCCTCTTATAAGCAGCTTCATCCCTCAGAGAAGCTGTCAGATTGTTCTGACTGTGTGTTCAACTCTCCAGTCATTCTGTACCTGTATCTCTTGTGCCTTTGTGTAACTGGACCAGAACTTTGGATTTGAACCATGACTACACCATTGCCTTGCCCCTGAAAGACTGTGAGTAACACCAGACCTTTGGAATTGAATTTTGACTACGTCTCAGCCTTGCCTCTGAAAGACCATGAACTCAGTCAGACCTTTGGATTGACAGCTTGACTATGCCCCTACCCTGTCTCTGTAGGACTGTAATATCAGGCTTTTGGATTGGACTCTTGACTTCTCTGCTGCCTTGCCCCTGTAATACTGTGAGTTATAGTATCTGCCTCTCTGGATTGCTGAACCCACTCTGCTATTAAACCAGGACTCCTGCCTGTGGAGGAGGAAGTGTTTTCTTCCCTCAGTGACTTTGTCTACTAACACTGTGTGTAATAATAGTGATAACAGTAAGGTCTAGACCTTACTTTGTAAAGTGTCCTGAGATGACTTTTGTTGTGATTTGGTGCTATACAAATAAAATTTGATTTGATTTACTCAGTGCCTTTTGTCTACTGTACCCAGGTGATGCCAGAGCCAGTCACCCACCTTGTCAGCTCTACACAACTACCAGCACTTGTCTCTCTCCAGCTCATCATTATTAATAAAAATTCTTACTTACAACCTGTGATACTGGCCATTTAATTGGGTTCAGCTCTATTAGTGGTGTGTGGTTCTCACATCGAATTGATGGGCTGTGGCAGAAACTGATTGGTAAATAAATGGAAAGCCCACAGTCAGCTCAGATTAAAGTGAAAAGGGAGAGCATGTGTCTTCCTGCTTGAACTTTTGCTTTCGCTTCATTGCATCTGCTGCGCTTTAGCTAAAAATGTCTACACCGAGGGTAAGGCCACCAGTTGTCCAAATGCTTCACTTGTTCTCCTGACAGGTGTGTATGAATTGAGTTGCAGAGTAACAGATCACTACTCTGCTGGCATGAGGCAGTTGTACAGAGTGAATCACTGCCCAGGACACAAAGTGGAGCCTCCACACAAAGAGCCAACCAAGATTGTGCAGTATTTCATCAGTGCTGAAGAAATGGAGTGGGACTATTCACCTGAGAGGGACTGGGAGCTGGAGAAACACCACGGCACATTAAAGGAAAGGTGTGTAAGATAATTGCAGGATGATGGATTTCAGCGTTGGGAGATGAAGCCTGTGATTAGTGGCATAACTTATTACTGTTTGTTAATGGAAGCAAATTGGTACATGTCTCCTAGTCCAGGTAATGGATATCTGGCAAAAGGAGAAACGCAGATTGGCTCACGCTATAAGAAGGCGGTGTATAGAGAATACACTGATAATACATTCAGAATTCAGAAGGAACGTCGGCCTGATGAACAGCACTTGGGAATTATGGGTAAGCTTAGCTTCTCTTCATGTCATTTTTACCAAGAAAGGTCTGAAGATGACATGAGTGTTTTGCATGGGTGTTTCTGTAGGTCCAATAATCAAAGCTGAGGTAGGAGAGCAAATAGTGATCACATTCAAGAACAAAGCCAGCAGGCCATACTCTATAACTGCACATGGAGTTAGAGCCAGCGGTGCACACGTTCCTGTCAGTCCTGGTGAGAATCAAAAATGCTTGATGCTGCTGATGTTTTCTAACAAAATGACTGAGTTATACAATCCTGGACTTCTCTCAGAGGCAGAGGGATTACTTGTTGGTTACATACTCTCTTTCCTTCAGGTCATATACTTGAATTGACGTGGGACATCCCTATAAGCTCTGGACCAGGGGTCTCGGATCCTAACTGCATTTCTTATGCCTACTACTCCAATGTTGATTTCGTAAAGGTACATGTTGTACTTCCTGTATACAGTACCAGGCACATAATTCAGAGTTGCTGTTAAAAGTGAGTAAAATGTACATTTAGATAGGAGCTGAAGGTTTAGACATTTCTGACAGAGTGGGTTCATTTATGTTCAGGACCTGTACAGTGGTCTTTTGGGACCTCTGGTGATATGCAGGCCTGGGACTCTGCAGTCAGAGGGGCCTGATAGGCACAGGAGTGATGTAGCGAAGGAGTTCGCTCTGCTGTTCATGATACATGATGAAAATGAGTCCTGGTACTTGGACGACAACATCAGGACGTATCTCGGCGAAGACCCCAGCACCTTCCTGCCGGACGAACAATTTCATGATGGTAACCTGATGCACGGTAAGAGATAAAAGAAACAGAAAGGAGCCACATGGAGGATTAGTCTAAATGTTCTGATCTTTATGAGAAACTGTTGGGATGGAACTGAACATAAAAAATGCTACTCCTGCTCATATGGTTTTTCTAGTACATCATGTGTCTGCATTTCTTTTCTGACTATTATAAATAGTGTTTCAGTTTGTGGTAATCTGTGTGAACATGTCCATTGAAGGCATCAATGGTAAACTGTTTGGCAACCTCCATGGACTGGTGATGACGCAGGGTGAGAAAGTTGACTGGTATCTACTGGGCATGGGCAACGAAGTGGACATCCACACTGTCCACTTTCACGCTGAGACGTTTATCTACAAGGTAATGTTCACCGTCAGAAGTAAAGCTCTGTTTTCAAGTCAAACAGTACCTGGCAGATTATTTATATACAAATTATACAGACAAAGTGTAGAACTGATCTGTTTGAATGTAATAATTCTGAGTGTGGATGTTCTTTTCATGAAAACCTTTGATGTTAATGCACAGGAAGTTCCTCGGCTCGGTTTCCTCAAGATTCCTTAGTCATTGCTTGCTTCCTTTTCTTTGTTCTCCTTGATTGTATCTGTGTCCCAGATGGACCATGTGCACCGTGCAGATGTCTTCGACCTCTTCCCCGGGACTTTTCAGACTGTGGAGATGGTGGCTGGGAACCCAGGAACTTGGTTACTTCACTGTCACTTGACTGCTCACATCTACTCCGGCATGGAAACCACTTTCACCATCAACGGTGTGTGATGTGGTGCCTGTGTGTGTGATGTGTGCGTCAGTGTCACATGTGGATACATATTTGATTATTATATAACAGCTACTGAAGAGGATTGTCACTTTTTGTCTTTCAGTTCCAGAAAATTCTTCACACGGTAAGAGTTGATTTTAATACATTTTCCTTTACTGGCAGGCAGTGCTTTCCATTCATTTATCTATGGTATCAAAATTGAGTAGTATCCTTGCTTATGTTTTATATTATGTGTAATCAGTGTTGCATTATTATGCAGTTTGAGTGCAAATTGATTTCTAAAGCCTGTACTGCATTACAAAAAAATAGTTACTACTTTAATTTAACACTGACAAAATTATTAATCGTTAAGTTTGGTATTCACTGTGGTAGATTACTAATAATACTGTGTAGATTGTAATAGATTAGTATACAACCCGGGCATGTTTGACAGGCATGATATTAGATTTTTATATCATATATGACTATCTTTGGTCTGGCTGTTAATTTCTCTCGACCAGTTCCCCACACAGGTATTGCTGTGGTGTTAATGGATGTGAAATGTTTTGTTAAATGTTATCTCTCTTTGCTTAGCTTGTATTGGGGCTGTGATGGTGTTGAAAGATATAGTGCTGCAGATAAATTTGTGGACTATTAAAAAAAATAATAATAATAATCTTTAAGGATGAAATGTATTGTATCGGTGCTGCAGGTCTTAAAGCCCCGTTTAGGCAAAATGATACAGTATAGGCTTGGTTCTGACTCTTAGGACTGTGCAGAGTCTGTAGGAAAACTGTAGCAGGATGTTTCATGTACTCAACATGTCCCACCCTTCCTCTGACCTCCTTTTCCTCTTTGTCTTTGCTGCCGCTACACCAGGAACTGAAGGCTCCATAAAGATGCTAGTGCTCTCATTGGCACTTGGCAGGTGGACTGCACTGACGCTGGGCTGTACTGTTTAGCCACAACAGTGGTTAATACACTAAAATCACTGTTTGCATATATGTTGATCAGCAACTGCACAAACAAGATGGTTTTTATACTTGTGGATTGTTACTATCTTCTATTTTCTATATTGATAGTTTTGCTGGTCTCGCAAAGCACTGCTGGACCAAATATTTGATTACCGTAATGAATGTGTAATAAAGATGTGTATTCAACTGTGCTTTAATATTTGCATCTATGGTAAGTTTCATTTTTAGTGTCATTTGTCTTCAAAGGGCAGTTAGCTGTGCAGCTGCAACACACAGAAGGCACCCAAAACACATCAAGAGTGCAAGTTCTTAAACATGTGTCGATATCTTAACACCACAAGGTGGCATTAATTCAGTGTTAAAACAGCTTGGCCAAATGTGCACAACTCTTCTTGTAGCTTTTGAGTTAACCCTTCAAATACTTGGCTCCCTATTGAGACTAAACGTAAACAGTGTTGTGTTGGTTCCAGTATGTCTCAAACAGCTAAATCTTATTTTGAGAATGTGTGGTCCTATATATGATGGGAGGCAGCTAATCAGTTCACGTAGGTGAAGGTATTTGATGTACATGTGTTGCAACGACTTTGTTAAATAACTTGAATCAGTATGATTGTTTTTATAGGCTGCCAGATTAAAAGCACATTTGAAGTTCAAACAAAATTGTTTTCACATTTAATGTGAGACATTGATCATCGTAACTGTGCAAATTACCATATCAGTGTTTTGTTGTTTACTGTCACTCAGTGATTTGTCCATTGATTAGTTTCAGCATTGCTTACTGCAAGGGGACAATCAGTTTCAAACTTGTGAAAACACAGCTTGATTGTCAGTTTGCTAATCATCACTTTCAAGCATAATAAATGTGTCATTTCCACATGTAAAGAAGGGCTTAACAGCTATTCAAACTCTGGCACTGGTTATACCACAATAACTCAACAGCTGTAAATATTAATAAGCAGTTTATAAATGGATTTTGGACCAGATCTTCTGCAGCCCTTTTCCGGGGGATAAATGGTCAAACATTCAACAGGAGTGGCCTTACTAAGGTAACAAAGTGCTTGTTAAAAAGCAGCAGTACATGACATGCTGGAGGAAGATTGCCACAGTTTGGCAACCCAAAGTTGGTCTAGTTAATGGCTTCCAAATGATCAAGTATTAGTAAATGAATACATCTGCTAATTACACCTTATAAGCCCTTTATAATTTGTGCATTATCAGAAAGTGATACCAAAAAAGGTAACAGTCAAAGATGCCTAATGAAAAACAATGAAACCACCAATTAAAACTTATACAAAAAGAGTTGACTTATTTTGCCCTTATACCCAAACTAAATAGCACAGCAATCATGCACATTGACTGCAAACCTACCATCATGCAAATTAAAGATTAAGAGATGAAACACTGACAGTTAAATAATACTGCATCACATCAGTGTATAGAAATGACCTAAATCAAGAATTTCTGGATGCAACTGGCATAAATAGGTAAATAGGTACTTCCCTTAGTTTGAGTGTGTGCAAGCAGACTTTTAAACCTCAGCTGATCATATCCTGGTAAACATTAAACACAACACAGTAAACATCAGTAAACAGTTTATGTAACAGCTGAAATGAGGTAGTCATCTCCGGGTCTGCCTCCTGTTTTCTATCAATGCCTGCTATTGATCCAGACAACAGTTGATAGCTGTGATGGAGCCTTATCTGCAGAAGTCCTTTATGTTTTCAGCCAGACTTTGGCTTGATTAATCCTTTCACTCACCCAGGTAAAGCATGTTTTTGATCTGCTTCTCACTTCCATTGAACACGTACAGCTGTACTATTAAAGCATATCTTAGAAAAATATCATCTATAGGACTACAAACTGACTCCTAAGTCCCCATGATTTTAGAAATATCACAGTGCGAGGGCTGTATACAAAGTTGTTGAGGGCTGGTTGGCAGAGTTGTAGACAAGACCAATGGCCAATAGGGGGCTCTCTGTGAAGACAGCCTGGGTATATAAACTTGGAGTTTCTTTTAAGTGGTCACTTAAATCTGGAGGGTTGAAGTAGGATTTTGCTGCTCACAGCGAAGGAGAGGTACAGAGCTTTGTATTTTACCTGTGTAGCTTTTAGCATATGCCTGTAATTTACTTAGCAGCATTAAAAACATATTGGAAAAATTTAATTAAGACAACAGATATACAGAAATCCAGGACTGTGCTGTTTACTTGCTTATTTCATTTCCATGAGACCTATACAACTACGTCTGCAACTACTTTTATCTTACTGGTAGAACAGATTGTGAGTGGGTGCATGTACAGTATATGTGTGACACACACAGAGGTTGGCTGTGCGAGCTGATTTGTTTATTGTTTGTCTGGCAGCTCTTTTGTGTTTTGGATGCACCAAAGTAATTGAGGAGGAAAGTTGCAGTTGAATGGGCCTGAGAGGACATTTAGGGGGAGAGAGAGTGAGAGGGTACATAGGATGAGGGGGCAGTGAGTGAACCCTGTTTGTCTTCAGTCCAGTTTGGACCAGTTTGAACCACAGCACATAGTCTGTGATGCCACCTTGGATGCTTTGGATGCTTCTGCAGTTAGTAGTGCTTATAATATGATGTAATATCTGCCCCAGCAGCAGAGTGATGCAGTGATCTTTGTGCAGGAGAGTTAATATTTTGCCATTATTGTTACTATTAGTTTAGTTTTAATTTTTTTAGAGCAATTGTCATTACCTCTCCCCATGTACAATTAGAAGGGAGGTTTTCAGTTAAAAACAATTAACTTTAGTCTCTATAATTCATGCAGTACACTGATATATATTTAGTTCAGTTCAAATTTAAGTGGCTTTACCTAGTTATGGATAAAGAATGGACTCTTCCTGCCCTTCAGTGACGTCAGTGATAGGCTAACTATAAAATCTCCCTCCTCCTCTTGTGTCTTTCTTTTCACAGATAAGGGATCAGTGATCCTTCATCCTGAGAGTCAATCAGAGAGGCTCTCTCAGCGCTCCCAGCTTGCTGTTTTCTCTCCTCTCTGGTGGTTTTTCACCCTTTCTCCATCTGCCTCCTGTGCTTCTACATTCTTCTCTGCCTTTCATTTCTTCCCCACAACCATGGCTCCAACTCTGGCTACAGCATTTTCCAGGCGCTGGTGGATGGCAGTGACTGCTATCATTGAGAATCTGCTGTTCTCCGCTGTGCTGCTGGGATGGGGGTCGCTCCTCATCATGCTCAAGTCAGAAGGCTTCTACTCCTACCTTTGCAAAGAAGAGGGTAAGTTGCAAAAGATGCAAATGTTAGGAATGCATTTGCTGAGAAAAAAGTTATGGAGTGACTATTTATTCTGTGCCTGTTCCATTATATACAGCATCTCCAAATCTTTAGTTAGGTTTACCTTCATTTTAAAGTAACTGCCTGGGAAAGATCAATGTTTTTTAAGTTATAGTGGAGATAGTTTTTGAGACATTTCCTCATTTTTCATCTGAAATGCACTAAAATTTGCTGTTAAAGCAAGAATTGGTGAAGATGGGTGCATCTTGAGTTAGGGTAAAAGCTTTTGATTCAAGACGTAACTCAACACTCCTGCTTTCTTGCCTCTTTCATTCTTTAGGAAGAATAAATGTTTTCTATGAAGGGGTCCTGAGCTGTGTTCTCAAGACTCTGGAGATTAAACCTGATAAGTTAAATTAGAGGGCAGGATTGCAGGTTGTAGGCTAAGTGGCCCAAAGTTAAAGAGAAATAAGGCCCCAGTGTCCCATAAACTTGATGAAGTGTCTCATTCTGCTTGCCCCTTGCAGTGTTTTCATTTACAGTGGCTCCAGCCAGCGTGGCAGCAGACTTATTCAGAGGAAAGTGATGAGCCGATGGTGGACTGGATTAACTGTCCTTTTACAATCTTCCCAAGTCCACCTCAAATGTTTCTTCTTGTTTTTGCCTCATCTCTCATTTTGACTGAAATGTTTGTGTTTTTGAGTACAAAGGTGGAACTGATACACAAGAGTGTAAACAAGGAAGATGAGAGAGGAACCAGGCCATGCAACTTAATCTGACACTTGTTCAGAAACACTAAAAACAAATTCTAAAACTCAACCTTAAACCTTTAATTACTTAAGGCTAATTCTTATTACATTTAACAGCAAAGGTTAATCACTTTATAGGATAGTAAAGATGTTCCAGCTGTGATTGAGCCACTGAAATAAAACTTGAGCATCCATGGCTGTAGGTGACATCCTGAAGCACTGCCACAGCCATCTTATCTAGTTCAGATGAGATAAGAAGGAGAGGAGAACAAAACCAGCTCAGCTCTTTTCAGACATGTGACGTGTGATAGAGGAACACGGCAGGATTTTATTACTGGCAATATGGAAGTTTAAAGTCCACTGATAAAAGGTGTTTGTGGGGGCACTGATAGCAAAGTGATGAACAGTAGAAAACAGGCAAACAAAATGGCGGAATGAAAGATAACATCATGGTGTAGACTGGACATTTGCACACAAGCAGAACTGATATGAGGAGAATAGTTAAAGCTTGATTTTACATGTGTAGGTCATTGAGCACAAGGAAAACCATGCGGATATTTTATGTAATGCCTTGTACTACTACAGTTCTTGTGTATTTTCTTTGAAAAATCTATGGTAGGCTTTTACAAACTATTCATGTTCATACATGCCAAACAACATCACTGTTCAGATATGTACTTTGTCAACCAGCTGCCTCTTTTGGCTTTGCTGCACAGAGTGTAACAAAATCTATGATCTGGTTTCCCGAGGTAGACTTTGGCACTTTATTATGGAGCACGTCACTGTGTTTCACACTGGGATGCCACAGGTATATTTGCATCAACTGTAGATATTAGGTGGCTGATATGGAAATATAAAATCAGCTCATACATGCTCAATTCCCAAACTTTGCTCCCATTGCTCCCTCACTTGGACATGTCCTGAACTTTTGGACCTATTATTACCAATGCCAGCTTATCACTTTTTTATCCCTTGCATTCCAACACATAAATAAAATCTAAATAGCATCTTAGTAAAAGCTCACTGAGTTCTTTCTGTTGATCTTAACTGCACAAGGGTAAAAATGAATGTTTATCTTCAAGTGTTTTTGCTTCTGCCTTTGCCCCTGATATGATATTATAGGTTTCAATTTAGGTTTTCCACAAAACTCAACCCATGTTCAGTGCACATGTGGCCACTACTGTATATATTGATGTGCAGGATGATGTTTTTATTCAGTCTGGCCAAATGAAATGTGAGCATTTTTTCCACTTGTATACCTATCTTGATTTTTTTTTTGGCTCCAAAATGTATCTACAGTAGTACCTCTTTTATCTGCTTTCATCATGTTTTCAGGTAACAGTTCCAGCTATAATTTGTCCCAACCCGTGGCAATACCAACACCTGATGAATATACCGACTACTATGAAACCGAGGGTCATGTGGTTGGTCTGGGAGATGGAGTGGAGATGAGGCCCCTTGTCCCTGTTGATGCGCCCCTGAGGATGAACGGCTGGCTGATCTGTAAAGAACAGGATGAGATGCTGAACCTGGCGTTCACAGTGGGCTCCTTCCTGCTCTCAGCCATCACACTACCACTGGGGATCATCATGGATAAATATGGCCCTCGCAAGCTACGACTGCTCGGCAGGTAAGCGATGGAGAGAAGAAATGATCTAGACTAACCATGATGTTATTTCTGGAATGAAACATGCAATTGTAATTTTTCAGTTTTGTGACCTCCATGAACAAAATTTTGTTGGGGAAGGAGGCAGGAATCTCAAAGACAGATGCTTCAAATACTGGGCAAATGAAACCTTCATGCCTAAACAATGGGATCAAGGATACAATCTGGTCTTTAGTAATTTGGATGAAACAACCAAAACAAAATCATAATAAAAATGTCAGCAATAGGTTGTATCTTAACTTGCCATGAGTGAATATGTACAGTGTTTCAAACAATTGTGTATTTTCAGCATGTGCTTTGGATTGTCCTGTCTACTGATTGCGTATGGAGCCTACCAACCAAATGGTAAGTCTGCCTGAAGAACATTCATCTACCTTTTTGCACTTTATTCAAAACAATAAGTTAAAAGTTTGGACTTTTTCTCATTCAATTCAATGGGAAAGCATGTGGCAACGTTTGACAAGTACTGTACATTAGTTTGAGGGTACCGGAAACAAACTCCTTGTGTGTAACATACTTGGCCAAATATACTGACAGTCATCTTTGTCATTTGCAGAACTCTCTGTTCTTATCTTCATTGCCCTGACTTTCAATGGCTTTGGGGGCATGTGCATGACCTTCACCTCTCTCACAGTAAGTGTGCACAGTTGGCTCCCCATCTGCTCACCCTCTTCCTGCTGTCTTGTTTGGCATTCCACCCTTTCTCTTGTCTCCTGTATTTTTCCCTGGCCTCTTACATGTCACGTTGTGTTCCTGTGGACAAACAGGCTCAACCTTGGACAGCAGGAAGGGACACTTGATTGGAAAGAGAGAGTGTGAGAACAAGCACCTCCTTTTGTTAATTATCACCTTCCACTACATTTATAATTATACCTCAGCAAGAACATCACGGTGAGCACATTCAGAAATAGTTACAGATCTCAAAAGTTAATATGTGGGAGTGCACTTGAACGCCATCCCTCGCAAAAGGGGGTATTGAGGCAGTAGAGCAGCGCTGCACTTCTAATTTGCAGTTTCACATTGTGTAGCAAGTTAAAAGAAAGGGTAACAGTAAGACACATGATCATGAAAACCCCACGATGACTTTCCCATTCTTTTTTTTTTAGCCAGAGTAAAAAGTTTTGCCTTTTAGAATTCAATTTATGTTTTTGGGGATGAAAGAGCTTCCCTTTAAAGTTGAGCAGAACCACAAATGCACAGAAACAGAAAAACAACTGTGGATTTGTAGAGTTCACAAGGTTAATTCCTCACCACTCCTTTGCATTCATTCACCCCCTTTACCATCAGTTCAGCCTACTGTGACTCACACCGGAGTCATGGGTTGTACCATGGTGATGCTGTACAGTAAATCTCCCAACAAAACACCCAGTTTCTATGCCACTGCAGGATGTTGCCACTACATCTTTTATTTGTTGTATCCACATAGAGCTCTCATTAGTTGCTGCCACTGGCTTTAATGTCAATTATGTAGTAAAATCATTCTTTAGGGCTTTGTTTGCTCTTCTCTGGTTGGCTTCAGCCTAAGGAATCCTCCAGAGTCTGTGCATAAAATCGTGTTTCCCCCTTTCAGATCATGCCCTTGACAACCTGATATACTACACTTGAATGCTCAGGTGCTGTGTTAATAATTACACTGTCCACGGTTCCTTGACTTTTTTTCCATTACTTCACTACAAACCTACAGGGACTCATTCTCAGTTGAGGGCTATTGGGTAACACTCAGCAGCCACTGCCGGCTCCCTGCCGTCTGTTGTCCCGACACTGTTACAGTCCAGGATCATTTGTATCTGACTTGTTTAAAAATCTATTGGAGCAGTGAAACACGTACTCCTGATAATGTTTCTAGGAAATACTTTGACTCGGATGTTTTATCATGAGTTAGTTAGACACGGACAACTCTTCAGTCTTGTGTAATTGAATGTTGGTTGCTGTTTTTGTTGTTCAGCAACAGGTGAATGCCTTTGTATTCTGCCCCGTTTCCTGCTTTCTACCCCAACTCTCTTTTCCCTTTCCTCAAATGGCAGTAAAGTATGCAAAAGACAAAATGAATGTTATTTGCATGTAACTTCACCTCTGTAGTCCTCTCTGATTGTTCCAGATGTATAGACTTTGTCAACACTGTGTTTGTGTTATGTGTTGGCCAGTTGTGTGTGTTATGTGATGCTGTTTGATATTGCTTTCACTGGTGTTCCATGCCACTTTGTTGATTTGATTGTCCCTGATGTTCTTTCTGTGGTGCCTTGTCTGTTTAGAGATTGATTGGAGATTGTCCCCTTTGACCCCAGTGTCAGTAGGCACCACCCTGATCATGTCCCTAATCTGTTCTAAGATTCAGGCTTAGAGCAACTATAGTGCAGCTGAGGTTAACATGGTCTTGGCAGTAGATGGTTTATCCTTTAAACTCACATTTATAGTGAAATATATCACCTGTCACTTTGGGCAATTCAACCTTAGAAAGGTATTAGAAAGACAGGTCATGAAGAGAGATCTTATCCGGTCTGTCTCTTCCTCTCTCTTTCCAGCTGCCTAACATGTTCGGAAACCTCCGTTCTACCTTCATCGCCCTCATGATTGGCTCCTATGCCTCCTCTGCTGTCACCTTCCCTGGTGTCAAGGTAATAAACATTGAATCACCCTGCATACATTCACACACCTGCACTGACATTGTGATAACTATTTTTTCACCACTCCTACAATATCATACAGTCGTATCCAAATTTACAATTAAATGACAAAACAGTAATGCCATTCTTATTGTCATTCCATGCAACACAGTCTAAATTAATTCAGTAACAGGAACCTAAAGAGGGGGTGTGGATCCAGAAGCACATTTAGAACTTTGAAGCTCTTTCCCATTTGTTATATTTCTTCTCTCCTCTGTATGTTGTATTTATTGGTCATGTTTTGATGTGCACAGGTTATATATGACCTTGGCATATCTTTCATCACTATTCTGGTGGTGTGGGCTGCCTGTGCTGGATTGGTCTTCCTGAACTGCTTCTTGAACTGGCCACTGGAACCATTCCCAGGACCAGAGGACATGGACTACACGTTAGTACCACAGATGCACACAGATACCAGGGACAGTAAATGTCCCACATGTACAAATGTATGCTAACTTATAAGCAAGAGCACATGCATGTCTATGGTGTTATTTCATTTTTAGAACCAAAGTCAGTGTTTTTATTCTCAAGGAGTGGTCATTGCAGTGATACAGTGAAAATAGGTTTTGGTGTTTTAGATAGAAAACTAGCTGAACTATTGAAGTAACAGCAGTCACATATGTTCTCCAGTATATGTAGTCTTCATCACTGACATCGTTTGGCAATTCATTACTAATATGTGCAAAAATTGCTGTGTAATGCTGTAAGGTTAAAGTCCATCTGCTGATGATAACGCTGGTCAGGTAAACTCATCTTGTGGTAAATCCCTGTTCATTAAAACCACACTTTTGACTGGCTTATTCAGCAGAAAACCTTTCCAGTAGGCTGATTTGTGCAGGACTGCAGGACTTGTAGGATCAGGACATTATCTTTACAGCACAGGTCATCTCCAGACTGGAGGGTTAATGATTCAAGTCCCACATGTTGAAGTGTCCTTGACCAAGACACTGATTCCCAAGTTGGTCTCGGTGGCTGTCCACTGGTGTGCGAATGGGTGACTGGGCAAACAGTGTGAATGTGCTTTGAGCAGGCTTACATGCATCAAAAAACACTTTACAAATACAATATAAGACCCTCCCTTTCTCCTCTTCTGCTCTCTCAGTGTGAAGATCAAGTTCAGCTGGCTTGGGTTTGACCACAAAATCACAGGGAAGCAGTTTTATCGCCAAGTGACCACCGTGGGCCGCCGTCTCAGTGTGGGCAACAGCCTGCAACAGAAGGATCTGCCTACTAAGGATGGCAACATGCTCTGCCTCTCCACCATGGATCTGGAAGTGGAGTGCAAGCCAGAAGAAGAGTGTAAGAGTGCAGATGTCAACAGCAGACTCACTTTTCACTTTAATGTGTGTTATTTATCAATGTTTCTTTTCTGTCCTGCTCTGCAGCCCAGTCGTTCTTGAAAAGTATCATCAGCCCAATCTTCCTTCTCAGTCTGGTGACCATGTCCGTCACTCAGCTTCGCCTCTTGTTTTACATGGGGGCCATGAACAGTGTCTTAGAGTCACTCAGTGATGGAGACCTCAACACAGGTCTGTTTAAATATTTGTCAAACTTTTATTTATTTATTTTTGCTTTATCTAGAATCAAGTTATTTTTGCAGTGTATCTCATGACAAACAGTGCTCAGTAACTTTGATTCATGACTTAAAAGCAGCTGGACTTACTTGGTTTTAATTGAATTTTCAGTGGAGAGAATGGAAGTTGGTGAGAACAAAAGCCTATAGTTGTATTAATACATTACTAAAGCATTAGATTTAACTTTTTATTTTACAACATTTAGAATTAACCTGTAGTCTTGTATAGGTTTGCTAACACAGTCTAATATTGTGCTAGATTCACCATCAGTACCTTCTGTTTTTTTCATAGCTAGTTTTGTTAGTTCATAATTTGACCTTGTTGTGCATGTCAATAACCTCGTCCTTCAGCTGTCATTCAGCTTCAATCTGAAACCACCAGATGCCATTTGTTGTACTTATTAACTAACTTTGTCCTCAAAACCAGCACAGACTAGACATCATATGTGCAATTTCACTAGATGCACTTTTCATTACTTGCCTGGTCATAAATCCCCCTCATAATCAAATCAAATCAAATTTTATTTGTATAGCACCAAATCACAACAAAAGTCATCTCAGGACACTTTACAAAGTAAGGTCTAGACCTTACTGTTATCAATATTATTACATAGGGAAAACCCAACAAATCCCCCTTGAGCAAGCACTTGGCGACAGTGGGGAGGAAAAACTTCCATTAACGGAAGAAACCTCCGACAGACCCCGGCTCTTGGTGGGCGGCCTTCTGCCTCGACCGGTTGGGGTGAGTGGATAGAGGAGAGACAAAAGAAGAAAAGCAACAAGACAAAACAAACAATCAAACACATAATGGCATCATATTGACTTTTGAACAGCCATTTTCTCTGTATTGCTCAATTACCTCACACTAATAATTAACTATTCCATCATAGTTATTAACTAGGTAGGAAAGAACCTGAACTCTCAGTCACCTTTATCATTTTTTTCTTAATTTCTGATATTCATTCTTATTCTCTTCTTTTTTCAAACCACCATTTTCCTTTATTATGATCTCAGTGAGCCTTTACTCCTCCATCTTTGGCGTGCTGCAGCTGCTTTGCCTGATGACCACTCCTGTGATTGGTCAGATCATGGACTGGAAGCTGAAGGACTGTGATGATGGCAAGGAAGAAAAGGAACCCTGCAGCAAGTAAGTCAAGTCAGAGTTGTCCCTTAGACTGCCTTAACCCATTTATAGTGTGATGAATAGAGCAAAGAAATAAAGTTGTCATGATCTGCTCTCCAACCACTAGGGGTGAGCCGAAGAAAAAGCGCAGAGACCGGAAGACCCAGAAGGTGACCAATGCCTTGCGAGCATTCGTCCTCACAAACCTCCTTTTGGTGGGATTTGGTATCACTTGCTTAGTGCCTAATCTCCCCCTGCAGGTGAGCGGTCTGCATTGACTGTTGGACAAACACACAGGCCAGCAAAATACAGTAAACAGCTGGTAAAGTTATACTGTATGTTTCTCTTTATGGCCTACAGAGATTTTTCTAAATTACTGATTAGCCTATTTTACAGGCTGGTGACAACAGAGACAGACAGTTATTTAAAGGTCCACATGACTAAAATCATCCCCGTGGGAATTTACATTATCCAGTTTGCAAAATTAGATACAGGTACATCACTTGATCAGCATAGGCTGGATACAGATTAAACAACACAACATACAGTACAGTGTGTTAACTACTAATATATAAGGCTGGCAATTGTTTTATTACTTTTAGATAGAGCTAGCTGTTTTCCCTTGTTTCCAGTCTTTATGCCAAATTAAGCTAAATTTTCATAGCTGTAGCCTTGTGGTATCTTGATGTTTTAAATCCAACTCTCTGCAGAAAGTAAATACAGATATTTCCCAAAATGTTGAGCAGTTCCTTTAAGGCTCTTATAAATTAACCAAATGAATTACTTTGGCTTTCTTCAGATTGTATCATTTGTCTTGCACACTGTGGTGAGAGGATTCCTCCACTCTGCTGTCGGTGGCCTCTATGCTGCTGTGTAAGTCTCACTGTGCCACTAACCTCACACCACACACACACACATTCTCACACACGCACACATCATTATCATCACCTTGGTCTTCTGTGTGTGGATGTGGCTTCAAACTGAGACTCTTCTGTCTCTCCAGGTATCCATCCTGCCAGTTTGGCAGTCTAACAGGCATGCAGTCTCTGGTCAGTGCTGTGTTTGCTCTGCTGCAGCAACCCCTGTTTCTGGCTATGATGGGACCCCTGGGGGGAGATCCACTCTGGGTATGAATAAACACACACCCAAAACAAAACGGCACACAAATTACTGTAAAGCCCAGTGCATGGCTAATTCTGCTGTTGTCCTCCAGGTCAATGTTGGACTTCTTGTTCTCAGTATGCTGGGCTTCTTGCTGCCTCTCTACCTGATCTGCTACAAACGGACGCTCCTCAGAGAGCAACAACAGAAGGAAGAAAATGCTAAGATCTACATCAAAATTAATGGCTCCGACATCCCTGAGGCCTTTGTCTAGAGGAACATAAATGGAAAGTAACAGAGAATGGGTAAGATTTCTTACTGAGAAACATGGACACTCCAGTGATACATGGCAAAAATCTAAGCAGACACCTGGAGTCTTATATAACATTTATGCATATAATTGTTATAGCTCTCCATCGATTACACACACACAAAGACAGACTGACACATCATTTTTTTCCATTCTCCCACCAAGATAAACTGATTCAGTTGTTGTCACTGAAATGGGTCCATGGAGTAGTCGCTGAGGGGACAAATGAAACATGGAGGGGCATGAAAGAACAAGAAAGAGGAAAGACTGTGAAAGGAAACAGGCATCATCCCTCTGCATTCCCCCAAGTCCTATGACTTCTCCCTCTCTGAGCGACACATAAGATTGCTCTACTATGCCCCATATGGGCAGAAAAAGGAAAAAGAGAGCTTGTCCAGCCCATGAGCTTCAACCATTTAAACCAGCAAGACTGCTAACTGTAAACCAGTGATTCAGTTATATGACTCATGTTTTCTCTAATGTGTTGACTTTAAATCAATCTGATTGTAAAATCCATGGTGCTATCTATCGATTCATCAGCTGTTTTTTGTTTTTGTTTGTTTGGCTGATGGTTTCTGACTGAAGGCAAGGTAAGTGGATTAAATGGCAGGGAGGAGAAAAGTCCCTTAGTGCTGATGTTTCTTAGGTGAGTAGAAAAGACATTATGATTAGGTCATTATGATTAATTATTTCTCTAATGTGTTGACTTTAAATCAATCTGATTGTAAAATCTTTCTCTAATGTGTTGACTTTAAATCAAGCTGATTGTAAAATCCAGAACATGGTGCTATCTATCGATTCATCAGCTGTTTTTTGTTTTTGTTTGTTTGGCTGATGGTTTCTGACTGAAGGCAAGGTAAGTGGATTAAATGGCAGGGAGGAGAAAAGTCCCTTAGTGCTGATGTTTCTTAGGCGAGTAGAAAAGACATTATGATTAGGTCATTATGATTAATTATAGGGCTGGAATTTTTTTTTTTTTTTTGCAAGACAACATCTTATGTTACAGTATAAAAATACTGTAGCTTAGAATCTACTTTGACTGAATGAATGTTAGTGTTTTGTGAGGCTATATTCTGTAAGTGGGACATCAACCAACCTGGGGTATATGTTTTTTAAATGCAAAATGTCCATGTATGTTAAGGTTATTTATTTTACAGTAATTTCCTGATTTGTTTCATTTCCTTTTTATACTCTCAGTTAATCTGGGGCCCTTTTCAATATATTCAATATATGAAAGAAATGATTAGTTCATGGGGCAGCATGTTCTATTAAATTTTACATACATCAGTGAAAATGATATTATACTGTGGGTAACATTTAAATATCCTCAAGGCTCCCATAAAGGTTCATGGTTATGATCGACATATATTAGATTAAAGTCAATGTTTCATCCAGTCTAACCACTGTTCATAGAAAAACAGCACTTTACACCCTGTTAACTCCTTGCTATGTCACACGCATCACACATCAGCTCATGTCAGCACTTCTCACCCGATGCCTCTCTTCAAAAATAGCCCCACTTTTATTTTGAGCTCCTCCTACCTTCATATGTGTATTTATTTTATTTTATGCTCATACTTCCATCATAAATTTCATGATGTAGCCTATTTAAATTTTACTGTGCTGGCAACTACATGTGTTCATTATATACTGTGTTGCTCACATAACAGTAGTGCTCTTTCTTCTATAATTGAAGACAATGTAGGGCTGTGTTGTTATGCAGGTATTACTGTTTAATATGGAAGAAGTTGTGGGTGTTAATAAAAATGTGTTGCTCTCTTTAAATGCTTGTTTTTTCACTGGTCACCAATCTACTCTGCTCTGCCATGTGACACCACACTCCCACGGACCATTATTACTTGACACCTCAGCCTCTTTAGAGATCTGCCAGAATATCACTCACATCAGAGACAGTGGCTCCTCCACGAAGCTCAGCTGCTGGCACAGTGCTGCTGTTGTTGGTGAGGCAACTGTTTGTTGACTGGCCAACTGACCCCTGTGGTTTGCCCAAAGAAGCACAGTGAGACCACTGGCTTTTAAATTCTGTGTAAAACAAATAAAGGACATTCAATTCATGTTCTTTTGAGCAATTTGACCACAGATTTCTATATATTTCATCCAATAAAAGTCAAGTTAGAAACTATAATGTAAGGCCACAGTTGTTAGAAGGCATTAAATCCGACTGAACTCAAGCTGACAACCCTTAGTGGATTGTCCTGTTCTATAAATTGATAGATATGCGGATACAGATGTGCCATAAATACAGCAGCAGTGCTCTGTTACCTAATTTTAGACTCACACACTCACACTCACATCCCGTGATCCTCGGGACATGTGACTGGATCAGGGACCTGTGATGCCTTGTCATCTCATCACGCACCAACACCATCCAATAGACCCATGGGTGGTGGACCTGTGTGTAGTCAGGGGACCCCCAAAGGTATCTGAGAAGATTACAGATCAATCTGTAATCTCTATGTGGATATAACTACTGCTTTTCTCCATGATTTCATCTTATAATTAACATTTGGAATTGGAACTAAGCCATGAGAGATGTAGCCTATTTAAAAGTCGCTGTGATGCTGTTGCCTCTTCAGTCATCAGTGACAGATACCCAGTGAGTGGGGGTGGGCTCTCCAGTGGCATGTACTGTAATCACATTGTATGTGCGGGCTTTGCTTTACAGGGTTTAAAGAGCTGACGCACTGTGCCTCTGTACCAGCGGTGGTGGTCCCCGTATCATGCCCATTTTTATAGCTTGAAGGTGAATAACCACGCCGCTACGTCACTGTAACTGTGATGACGCAGAGGCTGTGATACACTATGAAGAAAAACGGTTCAGAGAAGCTCATGTTGGCTGTTCCACAGCAGCAGCGTTGTTATTTTGTACCCTGCACAATATAGCCTGCTGTTTATCCTGATCTTTAGTTTAATTTGTTCTGGTGCTGTTGTCTTCGCAGCCTGATTTTGTGTTCCAGTGAGGTTCTTTTCTGGCTAAATAAAGTTAGTATGCCTATTCATTATTATTATTAGTTGTATTAATCCACAGTTTAAATGGCTAAGTTGTTCATGTAGATTTATATTTCTTTATTAGGCTGTAAAAACGCGCTTTGCTGTAAATGTATACAACTGGATGGCTCAGTACCACAACCACACAGCACCCCTGGTGTACCGTCGTTTTCTGTGAGTAGTCTGCTCTGCACAGGCCTCGTTGCTCTGTGCGCAACAGCAACGCCGCGCCGCGGCCCCGTTCAGGAAGTGAACCTGAAGGAGACAAGCGGCTGTGGAGGTAGAATGACATAGAGGGGGAGAGGTGGGAGAGAAGCAAGCAGCGAAAGAAGAGACTAGCGGAGGGAGGGATCGACCCTGTATCTGGACCTGTATTGAGCTGCTCTCCTCTGGGATATAGCTACTGCACCGCCAAAAATGCTCATAAAGGAGTTGTAAGTAGCTGTGTGTGCATGAGTGTGTGCATGAGAGAGAGAGCGGAATGTGTGCGCGTTTATCTTTCTGGTTTCGCAGCGCTGACATTGTGGCCGGTCGCCCGAGAGTGGAATTACAAGAGGGCGGCCAGAGTGATGTCGACATCCCGTATCTGCTTGACTCCGTGTCCGTCATCATTTTTCATGCGTGCGACACTCCATCACTCTGAAGTGTTCACTGAATAAACTGAGTGATAATAAAGGGGCGGCTGTGGTTGCATCAGCAGCATAAACATGGCTGTGCCCTTCACATTTTGCATTACGAGCCTTCACGCGAAATTGAGAGGCTTCACTGTGGCGAATAATATAATACCCTTTGCTCTGGTGCTAAAATGACGGATGCTCGAGAGGAGTGACGGTGCTGAGGGAGACATGGCTGGTGCAAGCAGCGCCGCGCCGCGCCGCGCCGCGCCGCGCCAGAGCCCATTCCTTTAAGCCGCTGAGACCATGTTACTGATGCACATTGAAGGTGAAACGACTGATGAAGCATTTTGGCATTTACCTCCAGAGGAATTGAGATAGTGAAGTGTGGAGGGACCTCGAGGAAAGAAGGGATGCGAAAATGCAAAAAAAAAGAAAAACTGCGAGGTTTTGGCGCATCATTCAAACATTTCTGAGAATTTGACAGGGCGAAGAGACGGGATGGTATATACTGCAAACTGGCTTCGCATGTGCAAAGGGAAAGATCTGAATGATCTGGGGGTTTTAAGCTTTGGCAGGCCACAGTGCTGTAAGGATAACTCAGTGAGGCCTACTCACAGGCAGCTGGTGGTTAGAAGGGTAAGGCCAATGATAATACTGGCCTTGGGATTTTAAAAATCAAATATTAGGCATGGTTGTCACTTTGAATGGTGGTTCCATCATTTTTATGTTTTTAACTAGTGTCAGTGTGTACACCAGTCCACTAGATTCATTTTACCTCAAGGAGTGTGAAAAGTCATCAGTCTGGTTTCCTTTACGCTTTTAGTGTTGCAGTATATTTTCAGAGGATTTTTCACCCTCTTGTCTATGTTTGAAATATATATTTTTGCCCCCCTTTTCAATTATAAATACATTCTAGGTTAAACTGGATGAAATGCCAGCTACTGGCAGCTTCCAGCTAAAAATAACACTGAACTTGAAAATTCTATATAGATCACAGTCTGACTTTGTTGATTGCTGTCTTGATTTCTCACCATGGATATTTATTCAATAAATGGTCCACAAAAAAGCTCAGGATCAGAGTGATGGCATTGCTAAAGATCTGAAGTGATTAGGGAGAGTATGGGTCTCAGCAGTCTGCCTGGAAATTAATTAAATCAGTCACGATTAAATGCCAAATGCACTTACACGCTGTGAACACATGGGCACACGAACAGGCTTGCACATGCAAACGCACATGAAGATTCCCTCATGACGGTCAAGAAATGATGAAATCATCCATGTTTTACTGTAGTGCAGTGAGTTTTTTTTTACTCAGTATTGCTCACCTGAACCAGTGAGCTAAATCACTCACAATCCACTTTTTCTGCACGTCCATGAGCTTTGGCAGGTGCACAGCAATCTTGTACCACAGTGATGAAGAGAATGAACAGCAGTGAAAGAAGAAGACAGAGTGAGAAAAGGAGAAGATGAGAAGACATAGAGGATGAGCAAGGCAGGAGAGAAGAGGGTGTTTGCCTTCTGAATCAACACTTGATATTCCTGTTGAGACCGAGGAGATTTTCAGAGAATAGAGCATTGAGATGACTTTAGTCCTTATTTTACTTAAGCCTATTCTACTATTTAAATGTTGTGTCTATTTTAAACTGTGGATGAACACATTACCTTTCATTACCACCTACTCTCTTTAAGAAAGTTACCTAAAAAGTGAAACATGATTTCTCACTGATATACTGTGAGTATGAATGAGTAAAATGTACTACAGAGTATTCATATATGCAAATTAAAGTGAATCAAACAGCAAAAGGGTTTGTTTCCTTGTCCACCTTGATGTTCACAACACTGACAACTGGAGGGTAACATGCTGTACTTGTAGTTGTACGTCACTGTAGTTGTTTTACTGGGCCTCCTGCCACCCAGCCAAACTGTGCACGAAACCAATTCGTCGTTGGCTTATTCAGAAAGACTGCTGGCACGGATGCCATCATTTTGTTGGTGGAGTGCAACTTATGTGTTTATTTGTTTGCCAGCCCCATTTCCAAACACACTTTTGTGGTGAAACAGAAAACCATTTGAGACAAACAAAATATGGCAAAAGGCAAAACAGCACAAGAATCACAAAATGCTATTGGTACTCTATAGGAATAATACTTTTTAAAGCTTTATTTGTCCAAGTCTCATGTACTGTGCACATATGCTGTTTCAACACCATCTTACATCTTATACCTTCTTAATTTAATTACTTGCATTTGTAGGAGGGATCCAGTAAAAACCATTGTTGGCCACATAATGACTTAGTTTCTACCCACCTGACGGTGCTAGTGTTCACCTGACTTACAAAAATATTTTTTGTAACTATAGAAACTTTGAAATGATAGATAGTAACAGAAAACAATAATGTGAGTACAGACCTGAGTTTCATGTCTAAAAGGTACAGTAGAAATATCCGTATAAACAGATAACACAAAAATCATCAGGATGAAGTGTGGTAAGTTAGCACACGGCTAACAGGTTAGCAATGGGCAGAGCAGTGTCTGTAGCCTTAGAAAATGGTAAATGAGAAACATAGTTACTCTTCATATAAAACACTTATGGAAACTATTAAACATTTTTTGAAGAACTGCTCTAATGAATGACCTGAAAGCAAGTTGTCACATCTCAGTTCCTGCATTTGATCTCGGCTGTTTACCCGCTTCACTGAGGCGTATTCTCATTTTCTCCTCATAATAGCAAAAAAAGTCATCATTTATTTTCTCCTGATGACTCAGTGTTTGAAAATGAAATAAACGAATTTCATGCTGTTTCATTTTTGCCCAGTTTGGAATTCATATTATATTTCTATGTTTATTGTTAACAAAGGATAATGTATCATGCCAGACAATACAAAAGTAGCCTTGCCACGTACTTTGCAAAAACATCAAGGCAGTTTACCCTTTGCTCTGTAAAAGGTGAAATTCCTCTAAAAGAAGGAGCTTGAAAAGTTCTTGTCTGTGCTCCCCATTTGGGTTGATGATCACCGTTTATCATCACATATTCCTGTTAGTTTACTCCAGCTCAGCTAACAACTCTTCTGAGAGCGTTATGACGTATTGAAGTGAATAATTAAAGATGTTGGTTCATGTTGTCAGTGTATCACCCACAGGATTTCTCCGGGCTCATTCAGTTTAAAGAGAAAGTTCATTACTACCAAATTAAAACATGATGAATGTCAGATTATAATGGCAATTATGAATCCAGTAATACAATGTTCAGGGATATTTGCTAGCGGGAGGTGAATCATTATGCTGAGCAAGTACAGTGAAAACAAATGGACTCTTCATTCATGCAGCAGCTCAGAGAAACTTGAAAAGTTCAGTGTAATTGGACTGAAGTAGCCCAATCACTTAGACCAGGGGTCTGATTGACTGAATACACATCATCCAGGTAATCAGCAGCAGGTAGGACAGGGGTCGTTGGAAAACAAGCAGGGCAGCGGCCCTTGAGGACCAGGATTGGCCACCCCTGACTTAGAGAGACACATTGCAGGACATTCTATAGCAAGTGTTAATTAATTTAAAGCACTGTGTTTCAAAAGGAACTAGTACAACAGGCAGAGTTCAGGAAGAGCAATGAGTTGGTTTCATTGTTACTTTATGGCTTTTTGAGTAACTCTGCTTCTATTTTCTTCTCTTCCAGTCGAGTGATTCTTCCTATCTCTGTAGAAGAGGTAAGTTTTATTTAACAATTTTTCTTTGTGTGTGTTTGCTAAAGTGGCTCAGTGCTCAGCTTTTGTTATGAGATTCTTTGGTTCACTTTTTTGGATATAAGACTTTTTATATTTTCACTATACCCGCTCAGTGCATAGAAAAAATGCAGCAGTGGTCACCTTGGGAACTTATCTAGATATTTTGCAGCTCTGATCAACATACATCAAATTAAAAAGGGTTCCAATCAGACAGACTGTTGAATCAGAACAGTCAGAACACAATGTCCTCATCCTCTTTCTCTCTGTGTCCCTCAGTCCCCTGTTTATCCTCATTTCCTTTGCAGTTTGCTCTTTTATTCAGTCCTGCATTCTAAATGAGTCCCCCCCCCCCCCCATCCTCTGCCTTATAGCTGTGGATTGTTTGCACTTACATGAGAGTAATCTAAGGTTTGTAGCGACACTGGTCTTATACTCTTTAATAATGACAAATAAATATATGAAGCATTTAATCTGTTCTTACACCCACTGAACAGTTTCAAGTAGAAATGCACCAGCGAATGCTTAAGGACGTGGCAACCTATTTGCAGCCTAAATTAGAATCCTCATTTAAATATATAAATGTATATATTTTTTGCATATACTGTCATGGTTTGGGACTACTTCCTGTTCTGTACTTTTATTTGGAAATGGTTATCTGTCCGTGTCACCTGACCTACCTCAGCTTTACTTTGACCTTTGATTATTACTCATTGCCTTCATCTGTTGCTCTTTGTCTTAAAGGCTCAGCCTATATATTTTCCTCACTTCCTGCAGTAGGTTGCTGGTTCATCTGTGCACTGTATCAAGGTCCTGTTGACCTGCATCATTGTGATTATCTTCTGTTATGTTGCCTCCTGTAAGTTCTTGGCTTCTCCCCTGATGTGTCTCATTTATGGGCTTTGTTGATTTGTACTTTGGTTGCTGCTCTTGGTTTTTGGTTTGTGTTCCTTGTTCCCTTTGGTTTATTCTCATTACATATGTTTTCAGTTTCATTGTATTGCTCCCTGATGTTGCTGTTTATTTTTCTTTAAATGTTTTGTTGCTCTTGTCAGGTTGAGCTGTTTTTATTTTATCTGTCCTGTGTTGTGCTAGTTGTATTAAACTTGACTAGTTAACAAACATCAGTCTGTCTGCATTTATGTCCTCCTCCAGCCTGAATCCTGACGTATACAGGGAAACATTTGAAATGGCTTCAAATAAGGGTAATGTGTTATCTGGTGTAAATCTATAAATGTAGTGAAACTGGTTTCTTAAACAGACTTGTAAGTCATGTCCCAGTCAGCATGCCATATCACGACTGACAAAGTACTTAGAACTTTTTGACCCACTGTAGATGTGAGTCACAAACCCTGAAGCTGAAGTAATGTCTCCTTTGGGGAATAGTATGTTCCCCCTCTGCACTTGACTCATGGCTCTAGAGCCTCATCTTCTGTCTGAAGCAGCAGCTTTTAGTATTTTTGCCTGCAAATACCAGGTATTCAAAACAGTTCAGTTGATCATTGAATTTATATTCCATTCACAATATAATTACACTTCAGTAAGGTTGTGGCTTAACCTCTCTGAATAAAGGTTTCATTGTGGGCTGTAATGGTTGAACGAGACTTGTTTCATCAGCTGAAGTCTTGTTCAAGCTCGATGGAGGAATTGTCTTGATAGTACATTTCCTGTCAATTTTTGCCAGGAGGTTTTTTTTTTTTTGTTTTTTTTTTGGCTTATTTTTTGAGAAGGTAAAATGTTCAGGTATAGTCATCCTGCAAGGTAAGCTTTGTCCAGCACTTACCCAGGAGGCTTTGTTTCCAAATTAGGATTAGTATCTGTGGGATTTGGTCTCCAGTTTTTAAGTTTGACCTTCTCTGTTGCTCACCTCTAATTGAATCCAGGGACTTTGTCACTAGCTTCTTTCTAAAAGGTTTCCATTATGTGAGGGTCATTTCAACATGTTTGGCACAGGTTATTCAGGCTTCTCTTTTATGCCTTTTATTGCTATAGAAGAGTAACCTTTTAAATGCAGACAAAAGGTCATGGTTAAAAGGAGCACTGTACAGTGACTGTTCTTTTCACTGATGTTTGCCTTGATCGCTGTCCTAAAAGTCTAAGGTAGCAAAGTGGTTGATGCTGGTGCATGGAACACTGGATACATTTGGTCTCAGTTCAGCATATGTTAGCTATGGCTATAATGGCTTTCAGTCTAAAGGCCTCTAGCTGGTCAAGACATCTGCTCCTAGAACTTTTTTTTTTTTGGACAAATTCATAGATGTAAGAGAAAACATTTGGACAAACATTTGCTTGCAGTAATTGCAAAAACAGTCAAAACTGCAGCAAAATTTATATCCAGCTGAAAAAATGTTCTTGTATCCTAATGGAGTAAAATGACAACTGCAGTGGTTAAGACAACATGTCAGCAATCAGTTTTGTACTAGAGAGAAGGCTGTAGCTCATTTGCACCAATAAATAATCTAGGCTAGAGGATTAAGCTAAACTAGTTTCATTATAAACATGTTCATAAGAATCCTAGTATAAGGCTTTTACATTTCCGTTGCATTCAGTTTATTTCTACATTTGTACATTTATCCTGTCTTGCAAGCACCACAGCAGATGAACATGAGTATGTCATTTAAACTGGACCGTTTTTGGTTTATTTCTTATAGTTTTTTTTTATTGCTTAGTTTCAGGTTGCTTTTTAAATCCAAAACACTTCCTGAAAGTGAATTAGGGCTTGTCTACTGGGCCCTTTGTTGTGACTATTAAGAAAAAAAGAAAAGGATGTCTACTGTGAAAGCTCACTCCTCCTCTGGACAACAACCCATTAATTATTGGACACGTGAAGGAAACAGCTACTCCTACCTGTAGTTCTTCCTTCAAACACATTCAGTCAAACCTACTTTTCTCCTCTTGTTCTCCAGTACCAGGTCGGCCAGCTGTACTCGGTGGCTGAAGCCAGTAAGAATGAGACGGGTGGAGGAGAAGGAGTAGAGGTGCTAAAGAATGAGCCTTATGAGAAAGATGGAGAGAAGGGACAGTACACGCACAAAATTTACCATTTGCAGAGGTAAGCAGTTTTCAGACTGTCTTGAATGCAAACAAGGGCAAGAGGCTCACAGAAAGCTCCCTGAGGAAGACTACTTTTCATTTTCCCTAAGTTGTGGTCACTTCCATATATGTTTTCACTTCAGTCTAATATGCCAAATTAGATGGTTGAATAATTAGTTCTTTTGTTGCTCTTCTGTTCTGCAGTAAAGTGCCGTCATTCGTTAGAATGTTGGCTCCGGCTTCAGCTCTCAACATCCATGAGAAAGCCTGGAACGCATACCCATACTGTCGCACAGGTAGCTCACAACTAAGATTCGGTCTGCAATAAACGGCAACATCGCTAATCTTTATAGACACAGAAGAGGTCCCAGTAGTGGGTTCCAACTTCCAAAACTACTATTTAATCTACTGAGCTGTAAACTCATGTTATCTTCACTGTTGCAACATACCCAGCGTAATTGAAAACCCACGTTTTGATATACAGTATTTCCTATTTGAGATCTTTGTTGAATCAAACCAGCTTCCCAGGGCTTCCATCACTGCTGTTGACATTGTTGACTGGATGATGCTAAATAAAATCATCTGCACTTTAATCCTAAAAAAGGGTGAATAAAATACTTATTGCTTAGTGGCCATATAGATTCTGATATGGAAACACTTGTTATTCGCTGGGTACTTCTGTTTGTCACCTTGAAGGATTAGTTGAATAATTTACTGTATGTCCAGTGTGAAGAGCCATGCAATCATTCGAGCCTTTCAAGCTGAGATCACACACACTACCAGCTGCCTGACTACCATCTGTCACACGAAGGGACAGCCTGAACCTACACAAACAGATACCGTTTAACAATTCCTCTTTGTATTTTGTCAAGTACTGTCTTTATATTTCTCATATGGTCATAACTGCATTACTGTGTTTCTCTGTTTGCTCTGCATTATTTCATCTGACTCTGCAGTTATTACTGTAAGTATTTTCTTTTTTGTGCTTATAAATTGAATGCATGTTGACAAACCAAATCTTGACACTCATACAGAAAACAAATTAATTAAAAGTTGAGAATGAAATTAGATTTGTTTCAGTGACACAGCAGCAGGCACAGACAGACACCATTATTCTGTGTGTGTGTGTGTGAGAACAGGAAACTGACCAATTCTAAATGTTTTTCTTAAACGTGCTTATGTACTGTATCATGTAGATTTACTGTTTCTTCTTTAATCAGCATTTCTATATTTCCTCTGCAGAATGAGTATATGAAAGATAACTTCCTGATCAAGATTGAGACATGGCACAAACCTGACACGGGACACCTTGAAAATGTAATTGGTACCATATGTAAACCTGCATGAGCTGAGGACCAGTATACATGTGTGTACAAGCAGCATCAGGAATTATTTAAAGCATTTTTGTCTATTTGGAGATGCACGTGGCACAGGTTCATTCTACGCTATTAATACTAGATTTCAAATTGTGCAGCATCTCCCACTTGGTACTAGTTTTTGTTCATTTTCTCTACTGCCGTGTGGGTCTGACATCTCCCACAGCTTCACTCTGTTTACTTCTCAGAACGTCTTGTCTAGGACATATAAAAAGTGACCTAATTATTGGCACCTACTGTACAATTGGGGCTTGTGCTCCTTTATATCATAAAAATTACCTATTTTTTTCATGCATGCAAAATCACAAATAAGGCTCCACTTATTCCCCATAATGTAATTATACAATATGTATAATTTTTTTTTTAATCACACAAGCTTTCAAAAACAGTTGTATCCTGAGCCTTGTGACCTCGTCTCTGTATGTGGGCCCTTCTGCAGACACTTGTGCCTGTGTAATTGTACTCTGTGGTTCTGTTTCAGGTACACGGTTTGGATGCAGAAACCTGGAAAAAGGTGGATGTAGTTTATATTGATATTGCAGACAGAAGTCAAGTGGAGCTGAAGGTGAATTTGTTTATCAAGATCCTTACTGAGAGGATTACAGTGACTAGATCTTCTTGTGTCCTATCTACTTTGTCTGTTCTGTATTCTCTGGTCTCACTCCAGGACTACAAGCCGGAGGAGGATCCTTGCAGGTTTAAGTCAGTGAAGACAGGACGAGGACCTCTAGGACCAGACTGGAAGGTATATAGCATCTTGTAAATGTTCGGAGCTGCTGAGTGGTGAACACGGACCTCCAACCACATTACTACTCATTACTGATGTGCAAAAAAAATCAGATTGTTGCTTAGCAACTGATGTTTAGTCAGTGCTGAAATACTGGGAACAGGACAAACATTTCAGCTAATTTTGAGCACACTGCGGTTTTTCTGGGAAATGGTGGCTTTTAGCAGCCTGTGGGGAACTACCTCTTACAATTAAAAGCAGAACTGCACTAAACACTGGCAATTGTTCCTGCTACTTTTGTTTTTAAATGCATCATGTTAAAATTTAACTTTTAGCCCAATGAGTAAATAAATACGGCATTAAATACATCTCTATGGAAAAAGCTTTGAAAGACCATTTAAGGCTTCATGTGGGGAAATTAAATGCATGAACAATAAAACTGCATCTGAAGCTATAAAATATGAGGCCAAATAATTCAAATGTTTTGGAAACTTTATGGTTGGCCGAATGGGGGTTTCAGAACCTAAGTATTTCTGCAAATGCAACTGATTAAAAACTATATATTGATTTATTTCAGATTTAATGTAACTGTATATATATTTGTGCACCTGCAGAAGGAACTTCCTAAGAAGACTGACTGCCCACACATGTGTGCCTACAAACTGGTCACTGTCAAATTCAAGTGGTGGGGCCTGCAAAATAAAGTGGAGAACTTCATTCAGAAGGTTTGTTTACCTTGACTGATACACACTTCCACTTCATTAAGTTCTGAGGCCATCTGGGGTGGGGGGTGGGGGGTGCGGGTTAAGGACTGTTGTGCCGTAGTGTTCTATATTGCATACAGAGTCTCACATTTTGCAGTAAAAGTGGCAAAGTATTCTACTACTCATAATGCTGCATATATTAATCCTGCACTATAAATAGGGCAAAGCAGAAGGGAATTAAATAGCTGATTCAAATTATCTAGACATTATCATTTGCACTTAAAATTTTGATTTGTCCAAGTTTAACTTTCTCTCTCTGCCTTTTTCTTTGTTGTACCTCAGCAAGAAAAGCGTTTGTTCACCAATTTTCACCGTCAGCTGTTCTGCTGGATTGACAAGTGGATTGACTTGAACATGGAAGACATTCGTCGCATGGAGGAAGAGACACGCAAGGAGCTGGATGAGGTGAGCATAAAAACTGGGAATTACAGAGCCGGACACTTTTCTGAAAAGCCTTCATTTTTTCCTAATATGTGACAAACATGTCACAGATTCAGGACAGACTACAGGACGTACACACCTATGTTTGGATAAGAATGTGAATTGTCATTCAGCTACAACGTTTCTGTTTTTTTTTTTGTTTTTTTTTTTGTGCGTGTCAGATGAGAGTGAAGGACCCAGTGAAAGGGATGGTGGCTCTAGAGGACTGAGGTTGTGTCAGATTGTGAATGCTGCTGCTCATCAGGTGAGAGGTATTTGGTATTCATTCACTCTGTGTAAACACATTCTTTTAAATCTATGATTTAGTTAAGTCTACAAAAATGAAAAGATGTATGTTGTCACAGCTCAAAGTGCCGGACACAGATGTCTCGCGTTAAAGTTCACCTTTATTCAATGCAGGAATAAATGAATGGCGTTGTCTAGTTGGTGGGCAGGCAAAAGACAAAGTCCAAAAACAAGTAGAAGGTCAAAAACTGGCAGGTAGAGAAAAGAACAGCAGAATCCACATGAAGAAAGGAGAGCTGGCGTGCCCGGATAGGTGGTTTCAGAGGAGCACCCTATATGTACATTGTGTGCACAGTGTTGGCAGTTTGAGTCAGAGTCCCAACATTTGTTGTAGGTCTCCCCCGTTTTCAATATGCCTCTGTATAACCCACTGTAAAATAAGGGCAAAAAATGGCAGAAAAGCTATAATCTGGACAAGTAAAAGTGGGCTGATGGGGAACAGGTGTGAGGAATCGGTTAACAGGGAAAGGCACAAAGTGCTGAGGTTACTAGCTTGATTATGCTCAACTCTTTCTATCTCTTTCAGACCAGAATATCCAGACACCAGCAGATTCACATCCTCCTCCTGTTGCAACTGACACAACACCTGACTGGCCGGTCCAACCTTCCCCTGGTACAATCTGGTTTTCAGGGACCTTGACCTAGTAAACCTGCAGTTTTCAGCCGATCTCCACCACCTCCCTTCAGTCCCCTCATCTCAATTTGTTTTACCATCCAGTGTCCCCATCTTAACTCTGAGGCCTCCAGTAGCAACGCTATAGATCTTGGCGGTCAGTCCTCTTTCTCTCTCTGTCTCTGTTTTAAACTACAGAAAAGCATCATTTATTTCTGCAATTTAGGACTTATTTCTATTTAAAGCATCCCAGTGGTGTGTGTGTATATACAGTATATTGAAGAGCTGAATAATTGTATTGAAATATTATATATATATTTAAAAACAGGGTTTTTAAAAATTATTTTATCTAAGTTTCTGTGGATTTTTTTTCCAGACCCGGCTGTATGTGCGGCTGCGTTTTAATCCTAACTTTTTGATTTTTCTTTCCATAGCACTTTCTCCATTCATGTCACTTTATGCCATCCCTTGTTCAAATCAATTTGCAAGTCTACAAAGCACAGCTGCAAGGTCAGGATTGTGCTGAGTGTTGTCTCCGCTGTACTCACGACCTAGCAGACTGGATTGTTTTCCAGTATCTCCCTTAATATTTTGAGGCAATTATGGAATTCTCTGCTGCTTTGTGAGTGTGTGTGTGCATATATATGTGTTTTGTAGCATCTGTAGGTCATCAAGGTTTTCAGCCATATTTTTTTCACCAGACCATTTCTAGCTCTTAAGTTTCATCAGGGTGTTTAACAAAGTGCAGTAATGGAAGTTCACTTCTGAATAGAAATATACAGAGAGGGATTCTACAAAGAAAACGTATATCACTCTACAATGTAAAATGCATAGTAGACAACTAGAACAGCCATACGTGTGTGCAAGACCCTTTTTCTTTTGTCTGATATGGTGGAAACGTTAGAAGCCCTCATGGATACACAACCCCTCCTGCTTGCTGTAGGCACCTAAATTGTTCTTTGAAAGTAAAACTGCTACTGCTATCCATTCTCTATTAATTCTTGCCCCGTCACTCATTTTGTCACCTCCAGTGGATAAATGGTCTTATCCAGCGATAGCAATAACTACCATGACATGTTGGTCTCTTCTTTATCACCACTAATCTATTGTACAATTTGCTCCTATTGTGAGAAGTTTTAGTAGGGGAGAGTGCAAGATGAAAGTCAAGAATAGTTTATTAAATGCTGCTTTTATTGTCAGTCTTTGAATGAGGCAGGTGTTCTCCTGCTGTGATCTGAAGTCTTAAATTTGTAATAGTGTGTTTTTTGTGTATTTGCTTGAGTGATGTACAGTAGTGTGTTGCTGAAGAGAACTGATGCTGGTTGGGCAAAAAAGGGAGGAAGTAATGGCTCTAGAGCAGTGAAAACAGCAAGCACTGTCCTTCATCCTCTGTGTGTTTAGCCTCCTCCATCCTCAGTTGCCTTTACTCTTTTCAGTCCTATGTTTATTCACGTCCTCCACATTTTAACAGCGTGGAAGCTTTAAAGAGCAAGCAACAGATAAAGTCAAGTCTATTGCCGTAATGTTGACTAAATCATACATTTTGATTATGAAAAAGTGTCACCTTCCAAACTAGTAGGTAATTACACTAAGTGCAAGCACAGGGGTCTTATTTGAGGTCCATATCTAGAGTTTTTCCTCACCTTAAAAGCAGACATTTTGCATTAATTAACAATATGAATACAAATTAATTTCAAAAAGTATTACTTTGCCTCTTGAATTGGCACATTGTGTCACTGTATTTTGATCAGTCATTGGCATAATAATTAGTCTTTTGACTAAAAGTGAAATGTAGAATTTGACCTCATACACATATTTGAGTGCTGTAGATTACTGTGACTATTATACTATACAGTAATGTGGTACAGAAGCAAATCATATTTTGCTGGCTGTAAACATACTAAGACATGAAAATGCTATTACTGCTGTGCATTATAATAGCTTAGACTTGCTTTTATGCCATTTTGACAGTCTACTTTTCCATCTTGTGACACTTTTTCCATGGCTTTTATCTGTAAATATAGGTTTATAAACCAGCTATTATGAGCTTTTTTCTGTTGCCTCCTCTTTAAAGAAAACACACTGGCTCTGGATGTCCACCCCCTCCGCCTCTCTTTGTATCCATCAAACATCTCACTCACCATCTGTGATGGGGCGACCAACTGAATCCTGGAGATTTGTGGATGTACTGTATGTAATGACTTTGTAAATAAATAGTAAATAAATCAGTGTAGATGAACACACATATATAGGTCAGACTGTCCTGCCAAACCTACAACACACCCTCCTGAAACTTGATTCTATTATTTCATTGCTCAGTCTTCAGCGTTGCACAGAGCTCAAGTTGCT